GTCAGGACGGTTCGAGTAAGTGATATTTCGGAACAGTATCTAGTTCCTTCAATACCAATGTGTTCTAGTAATATGAATTTTTTCTGTGTTGGTGTTGTGTACTCAGGTGAATAATATGTCTGCGATGTTACTCTTGGTGCACATCCACACCGGGCGAACCCGAAAAACATGCCCGGCCACGGTGGGATTCGAACCTACGACCTTTGGAATACTAGCCCAGGTTCGGGCTCGCCCGGTGTGGATGTGCACTCAGAGTAACATCGCAGACATATTATTCACCTGAGTACACAACACCAACACAGAAAAAAATCATATTACTAGAACACATTGGTATTGAAGGAAGTAGATACTGTTCCGAAATGTCACTTACTCGAACCGTCCTGACCGCGTAGCTCAGTTGGAAGAGCATTGGGCTAGTATTCCAAAGGTCTTAGATTCGAATCCCACCGTGGCCGGGCATGTTTTTCGGGCTCGCCCGGTGTGGATGTGCACTCAGAGTAACATCGCAGACATATTATTCACCTGAGTACAGAACACCAACACAGAAAAAATTAATTTACAAAATTGTTCGTAAAAGTCTTATATTTAATCATAACGCATGAAATAGAGCTTTTTACGCCGATTTAAATGGTACTATCAGTTTTGCGATTGATTATAATCAAGCGAAGTTATACATGGTAAAAAAAGACGTTGATACATTTCATATTTGTATGATCAACATCCGGTATAGTTGCCAACTGCTTTTCCTTAATTTATGAAATAAAAATTATATCTAGGAAGTATATACTTCCTGTTTTTTTTTAAACATTTGCCAATCTTAAATAAAACTAGGTAGATTTTATTTCCAAAATGCCAGCATAAAAAGCTGACCAGATACGACAACGCCTAGTTTTGAACAGCATCAACAAAGTTAGTTACTTCACTTTCTTGTTGCGGATTGGTTCCCACTGTTGCCCATCATCTACGTCAGTTGATATATTTGGGATGCCACAATACTTGCGATGGCCGTGGGCTGCCTATCGCTTTAATTAAATGCATCTCAGTCTGTCGCATTTGTCGTTTTCCATCGACTTTCCATCTAGGAATCGCAGGTTCAGAATAAGAAATACTTCATGTATTTGAACTTTTTAAAGTTTTTGTATTATTTTCGAAAGTGATTTTTTTTTAAAACAATGGATTTATCTGTCATGATTCCTCGAGCAGGTACGTTCTACAAATCGGTATGTCGATTTCAATTTGCAACTTGTTTTTTCAACGTACAAAACACATCATTTTTGAACTCGTGTTTGATTGTTCGAGAGGCTAAATTACAGACCCAAAGAGGTTATTTCAATAATTGAATAGCTTTACCACCTCCGCCAGAAAAGTTCATTTTCATTAAATTTGTACACACTGTACATGCATAATTTTTCATTGAAAATATTACAATTCAGGCAAGAATTGATGACTAATTAGCAATAATCATTAAAATTGGAAGCATTTCCTACCATTGATAGAGAGTGTATTAAAATTTGAAGATGTTTTCGGCAATCATGTCATAGGACCCTCCAGATTAGCTAGGGAGATGCCTTCTTGGCTTGTTCAATCCTACTAACCTGACATACATCATGCTCTGCCACAAAGGTCAATGGTTAAAAAGGCCCTTTTGGAGAAAATTCCCTTCCCCGGGCCCAGCACAGAAATATCCTGAAAAAGGCACGCCTCGGCCGCTTGTAACTGTTACTGTACCTGTTTGTAGTTTATAGCCGATCCACCAAGCGATCCGCTTTCCAAATATTCTTTTCTTTTGGTTTTCTATTACACTCTGACATGCATGTTTTAATTTTTCGGCCATCGCGAACGCCTGATCAGACGTCTTGTTAGCATATAGAAAAAGTTGCTCGTGTGTTCAAGTGTTAGTCAGCAGGTATAAGAGTCAAATATCAGAAGCAAAAGGCAGCAACTCTGAAGAGCAATGCTTACGACAGTACATAAAATTTATTAAAGTTTAAAAACAATTATTTTCATTAATAACATTAACTTACATTATATTGTACAAAAAACATTTGGGAATGTTTCTGCTACCTCCTGGAAATAAAACGTATTTCACTCTGAACATAAGGATTAATGGTGAATGCTATTTCATGTACGTAAAATCAGGGATGCCGGAAGATCAATAATAGCGGGTGCAGATATTCATATATTCTTGTTCACTAACTGTAAAAACAATCGATTTCAAAAGAAATTAATTGGGCAGAACGCGAATGTATGAATATCTGCACCCGCAGATTATAGATCTTCCGGCATCCCTGCGTAAAATTAATTACAACGTTTAGAACTCTTTATGCTCCAAGAAACATCCTCTTAATTAAAAGAAAGTCTCTTTGCTGCTGATAGTTATTTCCCACTAGTCCTCCAATTAATTTGTTGTCAATAATATTACCTATCTTAACTCATCGATTTTGTGTACGAATAGAGACAAAAAAAATCCAAAAATTTCCAAATTGCAATATTTCGAAATTCATGAGATACATATAGGAAACAAATATTAGTTTTGAAACAGGATTTTGAAAAATTGAAAAAAACCCCGACAAAACCTACCATATTTAAGTGCGTGCATTAATATGCTTGCGAGTACCTAACAGAAACAACAGTGGAAGAAGCATCTAAATTTGATCAATTGCGGCTAATATTGGGAACATTTGTCATTGAATAGACCTTATGCATAAGGACGTCACAAGGCTTAATGATCACGAGGGATGCTGGTGTTAGTAGTCATCGCCTGTGAAAAGTAAACAATTGAAAATGACCACTATCGAAATGTTTCCAGGCGATGAGTACTAAGAATAGCATTCCTCGCAAGCATCAAGCCTTGTGACGTTTGTTATTATGCATAAAGTCTATTTGCTTGTGAATCTTTGAAATTATGTATTGGAATGAGAATGAAAGAGTGAATTATGAAACGATTATTGAACTCGCGGTCATCGCAAGTATTCGGAATCAACAAATGACTGATCTTCTTGCCACTGATATTTGTTTCAACTCGTCCAATAGTTGTGTTATGAATCAATTGCGTTTATTAGCTGTAGCTTTCTTCAAAGGTAAACCGAATAGCCATTAAGGTCAATGTCTTTCTTGCGACATGTACCGTATTCTTTATCTAAGTGCGCTGCTTCGTTTGACTGACCTGCTTCTTCGAGTACACCTGCAAGTTTTCGAGAAACCATGGCAATCACTTTATGAGATGGCCCAAACTGTTTAGAGTAGATTTCAAGGGCACGTCTAAAACAATCCTCAGCTTCAGGTAATTCGTCTAATTTGAAATGTGTAAGGCCCAAGTTGTAATACGAATCTGCAAGACCAAGGTGGTTTAGTCCATTAGCGATTAGGTAGAACTCGATGGACCAATTGAATGAATGTTTACTCTCTTCAAGGTAATTAAGACCCCAATATATAATTCCAAGGTTTGTGCATATGAGCGCCATATTTGTAACATCACGTACGGGACGAATTCCGTTTACATTTTCTGCCTTGTTGTTGAAGATCTCCAATGCTTGTATGTAATAATTTGCAGCTTTTAGAAAGTTCTCTTGGATATGTTCCTGCTTCCCTAGGTTCATATAGTAAATGCCTTCGATAAATGGTCGATTATCAATTTTAAATGCTAATTCCGCGTACTTTACACCATCACTGCATTCGTTTGGGTTTGAGCAAGCAAGACCCGCAAGATTGATAAGAGATCTTGCCACCATTTCATGAGAATGACCATATTGTGCTCTAAAAATTTCCAGAGCCCGCTCATGATATTCTTTTGCTTTCGTCATGTTCCGAAGGTTGGCTTCCACATTTCCTAAGTTTAAAAAGATGTCACCAATTTTTGGGAAAGAAGCATAGGAAATATCTTTAAGATCCATATTACCCTGATCATGTCCACTGGTTACTATTTTTAACGCTAAAATTAGTTAGTTCTTTGATAATAGAAATTCCCCATACTCTATGAGAGTTGAAGACAAATTACAAAGGTGTTCATGAGTCTCCTGTCTCATTTTGATTGAATCAGGAATCAAAATTTCTGAAGATAAGTTCTTCGTTTTAGCACAAAATGCTTTCAAATGAGGAATTAGAGCAGTTTCGTGAGCAAGAGCACCTCTATATTCCAGAAGTAATTGGAACACGTATAAAGGAACACGCGATTTACCATTCTCTTCCGAATCATGGGCAACGTACAGTTGAATGCTATCAAGTACGACACGGTGCAATAAAATTGAAACCGATTTTGGGTTGTCTGAAGGAAGAATCAAAGAACATTCCCGCATTTGTAGTCTGACATCTTCTTCATCACTATTTTTTTCAACACGAACAATATAGCTTACAATAATGTCTAGTGATAGAGGTTCATGGGATACATAGGAAAGAAAAGTGAATGCATGTTTTAAAACAAGGTCGCTCTCGGCAAAGTTCTTAACAGCCAACAAAACAGCTGTCGACATGGTTAACGATTATGCCTGATTTACTTTGGTTAATTTCATTTCAGTAAGATTGCGTCTGCCTTCGTGGAGTTTCTTCAAATAATCCTTCCAAAAAAATTGGGAGGATGCTTTAGTTCCTCGAAGTCGTTTGACGTAGAACGCAGCTGAGGCCAAGGCAAGAGGTTGATAATCCAATTCCTTTGCTACTTTGGTCAATAAATGTTGATCTTCAACAAGTCCAGATAGATCTGTAAGAAACTCACGTGATTCTGCTGGATTCATACCTTGACTAACTGAAATATGGACAGTCAAAGAACTGTTTGATGGAACAGATGACATGTCTTGTGTGGTAATTAACACTTGACCACCTTGCCAGTCTTCATCTTCCAGTTGAGGGAGAAATGAAGATGTTTCACCCAGATTTACAACATTATCAGCTATCAATAACCAAGTGCATCTATTTTTGACGTTTTTCAAAATTTTTGCAATTTCTGTTTTAAGAGTTTGTATTTTTATCGCTGTAGTTGTTTTCTGTGAATTTATTATGTTCGCTATATTATTTTCATTGCAATCCACGCGACGGGCGAAATCAGCGTAGGATTCCAAGATATCGTGCAAGGATCTTCCCTTTAAAGTCATAACAAAAGTGTTGCTGCCACACCCATAAAACGTGGTATTTTTACCATAAAGCTGGCCGACTAACCTAGCAAGCTGAGACTTGCCACTTCCTGGATTACCAGAGATATAAAGATAGGTTAACGCACGATTATTCCTAGTAGATAGACTGCGTAATTCTTCGAGAATCGCATTAATTAACAGTTCGACTTCGGTTGGCAACTAAATGAACTGGTCTAGTTGGAAGGACTCGAAAAGGTGATTTCGCTTCAATAGAGTTTGCAAGCCAATAACAACATATACCAATAGAAATTGTCAGGCAAATGTAGGCTAGCTTCGTTAAATGGATAGCATACTTGCCTCTTGAAGAGCTTCTAATTCTCTCAATATTTGCTGTGGATAACTTCAATACGTTGAAACAATTCCTAACTTTTCTACAAGCGTTGTTAAAAGCAGGATCAGGCATTTTATGTTGGGATCCAAATTTATGAGTAAGAAGATTTCGGAGGTCTCTCAACTCATTAACCTTGTTCGAAACATGTGGGGCCAAGTGCTTCTTAATTGCGTTGGAAAATAGAATGGCATCCGACAAAGCAGACATATCCCATTCACTTCTCTTCCCAGATTGATAAGAATTTAGGTATTGTTTAGCACGCGGCCTTGGCTTTTCCATGTTATATAATTCGTTACCAGATATACACGTGTCGTCCCAAAGGCCTTTGCTTGTGCCATAATGTTTGTCCCATTCCTGTTTGAATACTTTCCGGAGACCTTCGCACACAACAACATTCATAATTTCCATCATAGAGTTGTAGTTCTCTTTCTCGTTACCGTTTGACAGCATGTCGAGAACAGATATTAAATCAATCAAAACCACAATCAAATCTAAATAGAGAAATGTGAAATAAGCTACTACAAGGTAGATTGATGATATGCCGCTTCAGGGGAAACTTATGACTCCCTTTGACTTTTCCTTTTTTCTCTCTGGCGCCCCCATTGATTATAGAATAACCATATACACCTTTAATTACTAGAAATGCATCCATGCAACGACCCCTCGACCTTTCCAAACATGGGAATTGAAGTTAAATTATATGCTTTTTGCCGAGATTAAGCTAATAATTATAAGTTCTTCAGCTCGAGTTTCAACTTATTACTCGCACTTTGAACATAATTTGCTTTATGAACATAATTATGAACATAATTTGCATAATTTGCTTATGAACATAATTTGCTTTCCTTTTTATCATGAACTTCTACAAAAGTTAATCCCCAAGCCAACGGCGCGGAGCTATTTACACCCGGGAAAACGAAAGCACTAAGCATTACCGAAGTCTGAAGTTCATGAGTTATCGCGGGCATGGGTGACCAACGTGGGTGGTCATCCTCACTGATCTCAAAAATATGGCGGACTGTCATGAATAGAGAACACTGATTGGTCAAATTTAAAATTTGCATTATAACGACTGCATCACGACAGCAAAATAGCAAACATTTCCCCATTTGAAAGATACACTGAAATTATATGCTACGATCTTGTTTCATTATACGCAACGATCGGCTTTTAAAGCAATTATATAAAGCAAACAATGCATCAATGTTTAAAACAAACTTACCTTTGTTAACGTCGGTGCCTTTTATACTCCCTTCATTTAACAATTCTCCCTCCTTTATTTTATCAAAAAGCTTTCGATATTCACAAAATCTTGCAAAAATGAAATATATTTGCAAGAAATGATATTGATTACCCTTTTTTAATATATTGAATTTTTTAAATAAAAACGAAAGCAAAGACAAAGTTATTTGCATGCGAGAATATGAAATCATTTTATTTCAAACCCAAAGTTTATCAATAAAAGCAGTTTAGTTTTGACTTTGGTAAAGAACATTTTAAAACATTTTGCGAAGCATTTGTGGTTGAATTTTACCTTAAATTGACGCTTATATTACGTATAATAACATACCTAACATATATATGTTTGGAAAATTGATAATTTTGTAATTAAAAGTGTGCACATAGTGCCCGCCGAAGACGGGTGGCATCCTAGGGGAATCTCGGGTGAGCCCCTGGCAAAATGTTAAAACGGGAGTCTCTGAAATGCCATTTCCCGCAGGTTAGAAGGAGATTTACAGAGTTTAAAGGTAACAAAATGTTATAAAATATTTCAAATTGTTTTGTCTACACGCGTAACTGATAAAAAACACATCAACTTTGTGGTTTATTATTGACTATTGTTAAAATATGGGGGTGGCAAAGACATTTCCCCCCCCCCCAACTAAAAAAGCAGCAAGGGGGCGTGCTCACCCCTCTCCCCCGTTTTCGACGCCAGGACAAGAACAAAGTCTATATTTATTTAATAATACAAAGTCCCAAACAAACAATTGAAACAAACTCGCCCAATAGTCTAGGATTTCTCATACTAAATCGATTCTTATAAATGTTTATGTTTAAAAAATGAGAATTAAATATCAAGGATAATTAAATTTTGTTATGTGAAACGGGTTTACCGGCTTTCCTTTCCCTGGGTGTAAATAGCCGGCCGGAATTAGTACCCTCGCCTCGGGCTTATGTCCGGAACGGCTCTCCGCGCTGTTGGCTCGGGGATGAGCTCGAGTTTGATGATGGAATATAATTTATGATCATGCAGATCAACGTTGTTTCTTAAAACAAAGCAAATTAGAAAGAAATACATCTCACAGCTGATTTAAATTAAGTGGATCTATAGAATGTTCTTAAAAGTTACGCTTCGAAATCAGAGGATCACGAAAGGAAACTAGAAAATGGGACACAATTCATGGGCTGCCCGTTAACCAATGGCAGTGAAGGAATTATGAGAATATGACTGATATTCTAACTGGTTGCCTTAAACGGGCAGTGTCACGGCGCTGAATGGCTAAAATAAACGGCGCAAAGAAACGTTCAAAATTAATGCTACATGATTGGAAGAGATGCAGCAGCCTTCAATTTTTAAAACAAAGCAAGGATGTCCTATATTGTCCTGCATAACGAAGGGATCATACATAGTACATCGTATTTCACTCCTAACTTGATTAGTCGTTGGCAGACAGTTTTTCAAGTTCGCGCATATTTTGGATGCGCAGTAGAACCGTGACACTGCCCCTTTAAATTAAACTTTAACTGTAACAGCCGTTCCGCACGTTGTAACCAATAATCTATTGGCGTTGTAATGCCATTGTATGCAATAAAGTATTGGGTTGTAATGAGTCTACGATTAATCCGAACGTTGATCCTAATCCAAACCAAAAGACGAAACTGATTCTACATATTATTTCTCAATCATCTATTATATTGTTGTTTCAATTTTATTCATTTTACGCCAAACGTAGTATATATTGTGTGCTGTATATCATAACGCACCAGTCGTTATTGCTATGACTGCTACAGCATATAAACTTGACCGAAGGCACATAAAAGAATCACTTGGCTTGCATAATTGCTTCGAGTTGGTTGTAAATTCTGACCGAATGAATATCTTTTACGAAAAGGCATTCAGATGTAGGCAAGATATTCATGCTTTGGAGGACATTTGCGGACCAATTTATGCTACAGTGTATGCAAAACACAATGTTTATGCGTTGAGTGTAGTTTAGATATGAAAAGGGAATGTTTTTGCCTAAATAGACAAATATTTTTGAGCCTGTAAAATATTCTTGACCTTAGCTATGTAGCCGGCAGTTTACTAAATACCCAGCTGCCAGTTGTATAGTCACTTTGTTTATATTTGATGACATGACAAAGAATTTTCAGATTAATTGCAGTTTCTTCTTTACTGCAAATTATGGATAATAAAATACATGAATAGGAAACTAGCTAACGTGACCTAATGTTTTCAATGGGATGATGGCGTTGAAACCTAGTTGCAAACCGAAGTCTCAAAAACGGAATGTTTAGCGAAAATACAGCTAAACATTTTAGTGAAGGAGCAAATAAATATAACTAGGCCATTCTACGATGAAATCTCTAAGTATTCCCGGTCAATTTTAGCAAATATTTCAAGCACTAATCAGTGAAAAATGCATCGCAAATTTCGTAAAAATTGGCGACGCCAATTTCGTAGCTACAAGTGTTAAAAATACAAAACAAAGACAAAAAACATTTACCTTGAATGCTTTGTCGTGGCTTAGGCATGTTTTTAAAACAATTAGACCAGTTTATGCTTCAATATTACTCTTTTAAAGCGGAAAATATAGCGAAAGAACAAAAATGCTGAGAACTTTGGCAATACACGTGACGTCACAGATTGCGTCTAGACTCTGACGCCAGGAAGTTTCCCGTCCAGTTATTTTACAATCCATGCTACAATCAACTGTCAGACAGCCAGAATTGATGTCTTCAATAATAATAATAATATAATTGTTCTTTAAAACGCATACATGAGTCTCAATGCTTTTTACAACAAGAATCTAAAAATCTAAAAGCAGTTACTCAGAAAAAGCTATCCTAAATAGATATGTTTTCAACTTTGCCTTAAACTCATCGATAGTTGGACTTTGCTTAATAGAGTCAGGAAGATTGTTCCAGAGTCTCGGAGCAGCGCAGGAAAAAGACTTCTCGCCATATGTCTCTGTTCGCACTCTAGGCACAGTTAACAAATTTTGACTGCTGGAGCGCAAAGTACGGGCAGGGACATGACGACGAAGTAGATCGGTGATGTATGTAGGGGCAATGCAATTAAGAGCTTTATAGGTCACCAAAAGGAGTTTGAAAGTCACTCGTTGTTGCACAGGAAGCCAGTTGAGATTAGAAAGTACCGGTGTTATATGCGCAGATTTCCTTTCTCTGACGACTAATCTGGCAGCAGTGTTTTGTAGCCTTTGCAACTTCTGCAATTCACAAGAAGGAAGGCCGTAGAGCACGCCGTTGCAATAGTCAAGTTTGGATGAAATAAAAGCATGAACAAGACTTCGGTGTCCTTTCGTGAAAGATATTTTCTTATTTTGCCAATTTGATGTATTGATTGTGAAGCCGAACGACATATGTTATTAATATGCACTTTGAAAGTAAGGCAGGAATCGAGTGTAACTCCTAGATCCTTTGCTTTGTTTACCGGTTGTACATCATGCCCTCCTACTTTGATGGGACAAAGAGGACAATCAGGTTTCATGTAACGTGAATAAAAATGAATTACTTCCGTCTTTGATGGATTGCCCATAAGCATATTGCAAGTGATCCAATTCATAACGTCGTCAATACAGGCTTCCAACTTTTCAGTTGCGATAATGCGGTTATTACGATTCAGAAAAATATAAAGTTGAGAATCATCAGCATACATCATGGCATCTATTCCATGGGACATGATCACATCTTCGAGGGGAGCAATGTACAAAGAGAACAACAATGGTCCCAAAACAGATCCTTGCGGAACCCCACAGCTAGCGAAACACGGTCGTGAAGAAACATTATCTACGACCGCACGCTGAGGGCGATAACAGAGGTAAGACTTTAGCCAATCCAGAACTACCCCCGAAAGACCATAACGATTACACAGCCTGTCAAACAAAATGTCGTGATCAATTGTGTCGAATGCTGATGAAAGATCAAGTAACACTAGAACACATTCTTGTTGATCATCAATCCCCCTCATTACGTCATTCGCAACTCTAAGTAGTTTCTGTACGCTGACTGCATCTTGGCATATAATTGATGATTTGTTAAGTAAGTGTCAAGTTGAGAAGCAACAATCTTTTCGAGTGTTTTGGAGAGAAATGCTAAATTTGAGATTGGCCTAAAATTATTAAATTCATCTCGATCTAATGACATTTTCTTGATAAGAGGCCGCAGAAGAGATTCTTTCCATTTCGTTGGAAAAACTCCTTGTTCCAAAGATGCATTTATGATGGTTGTTATAGTTGGTAAAAGGACATCAATACAACTTTTGAGCAGCCATGTTGGAATTGGGTCTAATTGGCAAGATTTAGGTTTTGACACCATGATGATATCCTGCACTGTACTCATTGAAACTCGCTCAAAGTGTGTTAGAGAACTGCGACATTTCTCGGCCCGATCAACAGTTACATTTGAACGTAATTCAGATAGTTTCCGTCTTAAGATAAGAATTTTTGATTCAAAATGTGCACCGAACTGTTCAACTAGATCCTCGGTGGATTTATGTTTTGGTAGAATTGGAGTAGTTTTCACATTGAGCATTTCATCGACAAAGTTAAACAACTGTTTTTTATTACACCCCTGTACTTTGGTCGTATAATAATTTACTTTGGCAGTTTCCAGTGAACGAGCATACTCAGCACATGCCTGTTGGTACATTTGCTTGTGGACAGTTAAGGTGGTAGATACATATTGTCTCTCCAACCGTCGTTTCTCACGTTTTAGTTGCCGTAGTTGATCCGTGTGCCAAGGAGAGTGTGGTCTTAGAATATTATTCCTTGATTGTATCGGAGCATGTTTGTCGAGAAGTGAACAGAGAGTATCATTATAATTTATAGAGTGTTACTAGGGTGTCCAAATTTGTTGCATCTTCGGAACCATTTTCCACTAGAGAGGACGCCACAATATCACTCTGAAATCTTGTGATATCAATGTTTTTAGTCTTTCGAAAAAGAACAGCTTTACGGGTGGCATGCGGGCGGGGAAAGTCGATATTACACAAAACAGGTTGATGGTCAGATAATGATTCTCCCAAAACAGTCAAATTTGAAATTCGATTATCGTCAGAACGAGTCAAGACAAGATCTAGCGTATGGCCACGTCGATGTGTTGGACCAGTAACGTGCTGTTGTAAACCAGCAGAATCAATCAGTTCCGTGAAAGTCTGTGCATTAGTGTCAGTGAGGTTATCAATGTGAAAATTAAAATGCCCAGCCAATACAATTTTATTTGGTTCTGATGTAATACCTTCGAGCAATGTAGAGAAGTCAGAAAAGAAACGTGCAACTGTTAGTTTGTTCTTCCTTGATGGTGGCGGCCGATAAATTGTCAGTAAACGAAAAGTCTTGTTCGCCAAGGTAACACTTAAATCAAGATGCTCAAAAGATTGAAATATACAAGATTCCGTTTGTTTTATGGTAAGACCTCTGCGTACAATGACTGCTACTCCACCACCCCTGTTTGTCCTTGACAAGTGGTAAATATCATGGTCTTGCAAAGTGTTTGTGAGATCAGCAATAACAAAACTATCGCTGCCTGTCAACCACGTTTCAGTTAAAGCTAATATATCCAAACGTTCAGAGATAACAAGGTCACATAGCGAAGTTATTTTGTTTTTAATTGAACGTGCATTCCATACCGCAAACCGTAAACGAGGTCCGCAATTTGAAACAATAGATTCCAGAGGAATTTGTACGAGATTATTATAATCATAATTTCGCGTGGAATTATATGCAAATTTCTTTGACCTTTGTACCATAGGTGAATTACCGATAACTTGTATATTAAAATACTTCGAGGCTTCCCTCTGTTTTACTTTTTTCCCACTTCTCTTACCACGATAGCTTCGATTAGTTTTGCAAACATATGGCCACCCTAAAGCGGCTCCAGCCGGAAAACGATTATTGTAGAAACACAAACTGTTCGCCGGTAAATGCGACAATTGTAATAATATATTGTCATACATATGACGCCCAGACCCAGTTGTTGTTGTTGTTGTAATGTCAGCATTTCGATAGAGTTCTGACTATGTAATACACTGGTCTGCCCCAAATATTCTGACAGTTGTTAAACGATCTGATAGGCCCTGGATTTAGCTGCACATCCACATAGATTGTAAGGTCTTTCTGTGGAAGAATGTAACAGATATAGCCGTGTTTTGTCCATGCATATAATGGTCGTGATGGATAATGTCCGCCGTCCTTGCATAAGAAATAACGTTTGTGCCAACTTCCAGGACTCTCGATTTGATCGAATATAGCATTATGTTCACCATAGTCGATAGTTTGATGGAATAAAACATGAAAAACCACAGACAAAATCAATAAAACACAAGAGCACAAATACATTGCAGCCATGTTTAGGCGCATTACATTTATCACTAAATGACCAGAATAAGAGTTATATATGCGATGGGTACAAAATTGCTGAGGTAACTACTGTACCAGTGGCGGACACTGGGGGGGGGGGGCTGAGAGCCTGAGCTCCCTATGTAATGTTGATAGACTGTAAAAATCTTGTACCAAATAACGCAAATCACACACACATATAATAATGACGTTGTTGGTAAATTCACAAAAACCCAAAAAGTTACCTTCTTATACTTCCCGATAAATAGTTCCAAAAAACTTGAAAAGGTTTTCGCTGCTTCGCAAATGCTCCCACTTTCCAAAATCAAAGGTTTCTGTTTTTATCGAAATTTTTCTTCAAAAATTTTGCCATTTATATATTTACGATTAAGGCGATTTAATAAACAAGACGTCTTGATATTGCTAAACCAAAGCTGCTAGAACTGTAAGAACAAAATCGTCCATCTGTGAGTATTAACTTTGCTTTCTAAACGTGATTGTAAGCAAGTTTGACTTGAAATAGCTTTTCAATTTGGTATTAGGCAGCAAAATACCGAAATGTCGGTATATCGGTATTTTTAAATTGTCAATATCGCCAATACCGAATACCGATATCTAAACAATACCGGTATACCGGATATATCCGGCATAACGGTGCACTCTAGGGTGACCTGCCAGCTTTGGTGCCGAGTCGTGTCAGTCATGTGCGCCGCCTACCCATCAACTTTTAACTACAGCAAAGTCTTGCTTGACTACTGTATTGCAATTGTTGTTAACAAACAGTTTACTTATCATCATGTTATTACTCAAATTACTCATTTTGTCTCTAATATTTTTTGCTTTATCATGAAAATAGCCCCCCCCCCC